AAAACAGTACACCCCATGTACAGGTTTTATGGTGTCTTGGAATGTTACAGGGTTAAATATAGTGCTAGAAAATTAAATTCCCTGGACTTTTGGACTGGGTTGTCAGGCAGGTCCCACAAATTGTAATTAATAAAATGACCTAATTATGTTATTATTACATAAATATATACGTAGAATTACTATATATATACACGTTTGTGTATATATATATATATATATATATATATATATGTATATACATATATACATATGTAGAAAGGTCATGAGGCCTGAATTTGTGGGAGGAGTACGTCCCCTACTTAAACTCCCAGCCCCTACTCATCTCTGCCGGTTCAGTTGATTGTCTATCTCCATAGCGACCAGCACTTCCGGTCCGAGCTTCCCGCCAAACGGCTCCAGTCTCCTGCAGTAAGAGGTGTCCAGTGGAATCCTTTGTCTGTCCAGCAGCCCTGTCACCAGCCATCCTGCAACCCTGCCACCAGCCTTCCTCCCGGCCGCGGTACTTTGCTTCCGGTCACGAGACCGGCACGCTCACGTAAGCTTGTGAGGGAAATAGCGTTCGGCTATTTCTCTCCGTTCGGGCCTAAAAACTAAGGGGTAGGCTCCCTTTTACTATCACATTATCAATTTTCATATACTTACCTATTTGTGCATTTCCGCGTTCGCGCCACTAAACTAGACGAACGCTCGCTATACTTACGTTTCACGGGGGCTTTCGCACGATCTAAACTGCCGAACTACGTATGAACATAACTCTAAAGCTAATCTTTTCAATTCTGTTTTCCGTTCGGTCATACGCACGAACCATGTACTTATTACTTACCCGTTCTGGCATTTTAAGCGAATTGTGTAAACCTGTTCACCCCTCGCTAACTTTCCTAATTCATGCTAAGTCTATTCGCGCGGGAGTAAATGAACGCACATTATACTTAACCTAAGCAGGTCCCCCGTTCGTCCAAAACTACCGATCCCCTTTCAGTATAATACAAACATTTCGTGCACACGAATTCATATGATTACTCATACTGTCTGTTCGATTATTTAACTGTTTGTACTATCTGTCAGTAGGAGTTATTAAATACATGTAAAAAACTACTACTATTTATCACCTAAACTGTGTTTTCCGGTTAACTATGTCAAAAAATTCAAACCATAGCCACTGTATCTTAAATAATCAGTTCTTTTTCTACACCCATGTGGTTAGTAATCTATGTTTTACGTTCCTTTATCTAATAAAATAAATTCCTCCTGACACCAAACAAAAGGGCAGAATTCTATAAATTCCACAACAACCCTGTTCAAACACAACATACATATATTATTATTACACGATGATCTAGGGCAGGGGTAGGCAACCTACGGCACTAGTGCCATGCACGGCACTCATGGTGTCTTTGCACTGCACTCAAGGCTGCTACAGCCAAACAGGCTCTGGCCTATCAGGAGTCCCAGTGAAACTTCAGATATCTGTTAATATGAAAAGGTGGTGAAGGACAATCCTCAATTTATGCATTGCAGCACATGAATGGGAATCCACAATGGAGTAGACAAGTCCACAGCTGCTGTTGCAGCTCCTGTCCTTCACCTGTACCTGGCCAGCCTGGTCCCCATTGGAACCCAAGGAAGCCACCCACACTGCTAGATATACACAGAAATGCACAATAACCCTCCCCTCATACAAATAATACAAACAGCCCACAAGCAAACATACATACAATCCGCACAAATGTAACCCGCTAACAATCCACATACATGCACACAACCCCACATGCAGCCTCTCACATGCAATACCCCAAACAGCCCGCGCACATAAACACACTACCAAACACAAAATGTGGCATATCCATCCACACACACAATTCCACAAGCAGCCCCCATACACAGCCCACATTCATATGTATCATACACGATACCACAAACTACTCATGAACAGATACAATATAATAGCTCATATACGCACAAATACGATACAAAGCAATTACAGTATAAATAACACAAGCAGAATACGGCAGCATACACACCTCAATTAAAAAAAATAGGACCGGCACGCTACGGGACATCATAATCCTATATCGGCACAGTGCTGCTAAAAGGTTGCATACCCCTGATCTAGGGTAACACTGGTAAACCCCTAAAAATTTATTTTAATTTACTACGTTTTCTCCTTAAAGTTACGCAGTCATTAATCCTGCCCCTGTCACATTTCTTTGGCTCCACAGATTGCCTCGGTTTCTCTTATTTTCTGCTTAAAGTTAGCAAATTCAAGGTCTTGTGTTTACAAACCAAGGTATAGTATTTACTCACCATGCTTTCAATCATGTCCATGCCTCAATACTGCATGCACACTAAACTTATCACAGTGAAATTGGTTATTTATAACTTACTATCACAGCATTCACAAATTCTTAAATATTTAATGGGTTTAATCCATAGCTCCAGAATTTTTCTAGGCCTCCACCGGTTTCCACGAAGAAACACCAGTTACGCTCATCCTAGTACCCGTATAACAAATCAAGGTATATTTCTCTACTCATTTCAGGACTTTTTCATACAAGACCTAATGCGGTCTCAATTCATTACGACTAACTCTAGGTCCTACGTCCTTGGTGTGTTAAATTCTCTCCTTTTTTCTTAACCAGGAATACGGTCATACTGCCATCAGGCAAGAAATTACCAACCTACCTAACCCGGTACTCAGCCACACTACCAGGTACTTACGTCCTTATTCGTTACGGCATTCACAACCCAAGGCCTCAATCAGCCTCTCTCTATAACGTAAACTCGCCTCAGTCGTAGTCTAAGCATTCAGATCCCTCACTTCAGGATCTCACGTCGCGCTCCTATCAGTCAACCCTTACCACAAATCATACGCCACCACGGTACGCATAAATACATCAACATCTGTCTTAATCATTAGGTTTCTTCTACGAGGACAGCAGCAGCCAAGACTCGCTACATATAAACATTCGAAGGTTCCAGCTCTCTATTATAAACCCTTCAAGGTTAGTATCCACACATTACACCAGAATTACCATTCAACCTTTAGTATTCAAGCTCACCCTAGTAAAAAATCCCGTCCAGCAAGGCCATCTCCCAACTCAACACAGAGGTACAGCCACACGCCCAAATCATAGTTATATGCCTCGCCCGCCCTACTACAGGGCTGTAGTCAGGGCCTCACCTGTCACGGCCACACATTTTGAATCTCTTTACAGTCACCGAGAGGCCAACACCCCACCACCACGTCTGTGGCCACGATTTCTCTAAGCCAAATCATAGGTAGAGCCTCTCACCGCCACTTGGCATTAGCAGGGCCTCACCTATCAAAAATTCACAGTTAAGTTTTTAGCTTCGGCATTAGCATTACAGGCCAGTTCATAAAATACCACCCTCATATCTCTCCCGGTTCCCCTACTCACCTTCTAATATCTCATTCACTGAATCATTTTTGAGTGTCTCAAGAACCAGCCCCCATCGAAGAGTTGCCCGAGGAGATCCCGTTTATGCCCATTAGACCAGAGTCTCCATGCGAATCTCTCATCCCCTCCCCTCGTCCTTGAGAGCATGGACTATCCCTAAAATTACGGCCGAACTTAGGCTCAGGGGAATCCCCTTTCCAGCTACAGCTAGAAAGGCGGAACTCTACAGACTGCTCACCTACCAAGCCCCTGAACCTAGGCCAGGCACTAGCTCTCAAGGACAGCCACCAAGCGCTGGCACGTCCACCCAGGATACCCTAGCAACAATCTTGGCCAACTTACAGACTTTAAACAACAGGATATCTAAGGTGGAGAGCGCTATTGCCTCCCCAGGTAATACCCCGGGCCTCCTAGTCGCTATCCCGGCAGTCCCTGCTGTACCACCATGCCCCCCATACTCCCTCCTCCAGCACCAGCCACAGCTATTTCTCCTTTCAAGTCACCAGCTCACTCTGTCCCAGACTCCATCAGGAAAGAAATCCTAGATGGGAAGGATGTGTGTCTGGTGTCTCTGCTTATAGCATCCCAAGACATACTGGAGAACAGGGCATACAATTACGGGGACATCTCAGTGGTGCTTAAGACTGGAGACCCCAGACTCAACAAAAACTAACCATACCTCAGTTTGTGTTTGCCTTTGGGATATACCGTGATGTCATCGGCACGGTGTATCCCAACAGAAGAGAAGAGCTAGACCTTTACCTCCACAAGGTGGTGGATTTAGGCATCAAGTACGGGGGCTCCTCTTTTTACGACTATCATAAGTCGGTATCAGCAAAGGCGGCGACCCATCTGAAACAGTTCAATGTCAGAATTAACTGGTGTCAGATGGATACAGAACTATTCTGTCGCCACTTCGCTGGTCTCAGGCCCCCATCTTGCGCCATATGTAACTCTACATCTCATACGGCAGACTTATGTCCTTCAGAAGCCTATCCCACCACCTCCACTCCCACCCCTAATCCCACTTTCACCCCTCACAACAAATCAAGTGATAAGCTGGGTAGGCCCATCTCCTTCCTAGGTAAAGCTCAGGTGTGCAATAATTTCAACGCAGGCTCCTGCAGTTTCAGCGCCTGTAGATTGTTGCACATCTGTTCTATATGCTTTAGGGCACATACCAAGACCATGTGCCCGGCCAGGTTGTCCCCTAACAAATGACTAACCGACATAAATGTGGACAACCTGGTTTTTTACCTAAGGACACACCCTAGCAGAGATTTCGTGGAATATCTGACCACTGGATTCACTCAGGGTTTTTTCACGGGTATTGTAGCCATCCCCACGGGCATACTGGAATGTCCCAATTTATTGTCAGCATGCCAAGATCCAATCTCCACAGATATCCTCCTTTCCGCAGAAATTACCAACGGTTTCATGATCGGCCCCTTCACCTCCTCACCGTTTTCCTCCTGGCGCACTAACCCCATTGGTGTCGCAGTACACAAATATTCTAATAAAAAAATTCTAATTATCGATTTATCAGCACCGCACTCCTCTTTTGTTCCCAGCATAAACGCACTCATACCCGCAGACGAATTCTCACTTCAGTATGTAACAATTGACGATGCCATACAATCCATCATCTCATCTGGTAGTCGCCCCTGGCTCAGCAAAACGGACATCACAAACGCTTTCAAATTACTACCCATGCACCCCTCACTCTGGCACTTGCACGGTGTTAAATGGCGAGAAAAGTACTACTTCTCCACTCGACTCACTTTCGGTTCTAGAAGCAGCCCCAAACTGTTCGATATCTTCGCTGAAACGCTATGCTGGCTGCTTCTGAACGTCCTCAGGTGTCACTCTGTTATACATTACTTAGACGACTTCTTACTGATAGAGCATGGGGCACAAACACCCACCACTATAAGCAGTACTACAGCATTTTTTTCCACACTTGGTGTACCATTGTCTCCATCAAAAACAATCGGCCCCACAACTAAATTAACCTTTTTGGGGATAGAGCTAGACTCTGTTACCCTCCGAGCTAGCCTTCCCCACGACAAACTGTTCCGCTTGAGAGGGGAGATAGTCATGTTCCTGCGGAATGATGTTTGCACCAGAAGGGAACTTCAGTCCCTTCTGGGATCCCTTAACTTCGCTATGCACATCATCCCGCAGGGAAGGTCTTTTATATCCAGGCTTCTTTGCCTGCTCCACGGGGTACCGGACTCTTGCCCAATTTCTTTGGACCCCCACGCAAAGGCTGATTTAGCTATGTGGGGGAAGTTTTTGGCAGATTGGAACGGTATCTCCATGTTTATCCCCCCTCTCTCCACTTGTTCACCCATCATCCACACAGACGCTGCAGCCAACACGGGTTTCGCAGCCATCTTCGGGAACCACTGGTTCAGGGGTCACTGGCCCGCTGAGACGGATGCCTTGCCAGGATTCAGGGAGACCTCAGCCCTATTCGAAATTCATCCCATCGTGGTGGCCGCACACACCTGGGGTCATCTCTGGTCCGGCAAGGCAGTAAAATGCTATTCTGATAACTCGGCGGCTTGCGAATTCATAAACAAGGGGCGCTCATCGTCCCTTACCATCATGCGGCTGATTCGCAAGCTGACCTGGCTGGCAGCAACCGTCCAGTTTCATATAGTTTGTTCTCACATCTTGGGCACCCACAACACGGCCGCTGATGCTCTTTCTCGCTCTCAATTCCAGGTATTCTTCCAGGCACTCCCTACGGCTCACCACCAGCCATCCAGGACACCACAATTTCACGAACTAATCCTGGATTAAGCACACTTATGCACCACACTAGGACTCTCACTCACCAAGCACTATCACCCAACACAGCTATCTCATACAATAGGACACTTACCACTTTTAACAAATTCACTGCAGAATTCGGTTTACAAGGCGACTTCTCTACACAAACCATGGTGGCTTTTGCCTTTTTCTGCCACTTACATCTTAAACTTTCTCACAACACCATTAAACTTTACCTCACCGGGGTTCAGCACCATAGCCTCACCAATTTTCCTAACAACACCCCCTTCTTGTCATCATATCCCATTAAAAAGGTCCTGAAAGGTATATTAAAGGTTTCGGTTCCACTCACCACTACAAGACTACCTATAGACGGACCTATCTTTAGATCACTTAGCAATCTCCTTGATGAATCCCAACACAAACCTGGTCATCAAATCTGCTATTTATCTTGCTTTCTACGGTTTTCTCAGACCCAGAGAGTTCACCGTTGTTTGTCAAGGAGATATCATGCACAGCCTAAAAACATCACACCTCGCTAAGGTGGAGGATCACTACCTACTTATGATCCCATCAACTAAAACTAACCACTCACAACACCCCACCATAATTCCTCTCTTCCCTACTGATAATGCCTGGTGTCCGGTCAAGGCGCTAGATCACCTACGGTCCACCCATCATGCGCACTTACCAGACTCTCCGCTCTTATCACTACAAGGCCACCCGCTCACCACGGCTAAATTCACGACACATGTCAGGAAACTACTGTAGCGGAGCAGCAATATTAAATCCCACGAACTCCGCTGGTAAAGAAGGTAATCCACAGTCAAGCGCTGAAAAGTAAGGCAATATCCCAAATCCACCAGTAACCGGACGAAACACAGTTCTGGGAGTCAACTGAGGTCTTTATTCACAGCTCCAGTATTTATGCAAGTCCCCATGCAAGGGGTTTCCCTACTGACATTGCAGGGGTAATACAGTAGGGGACGACATGGGGGACTTAACATTCTGGGCATTTCTCCCATCAGGCACTGCTGCACGAGAGGGATACTCCCACTGGAATATACCGTTAAGTGGATTATCCCTCTGTGTAGCAGAACCGACAATTCACTTTTAAATACATAACTTTTGTAATACTTAGTCTATTTAAACGAATGGACTTTCGGTAGATAGCTGGGGTCTGAGTGCACAGTTCGTGAGAATACCGCTCAGATCCCAGCTAAAACAACTGAACGCCGCATGAAATACACTTTGCCATTGAGTTCGCCCCAAAGTACCGAACACCGATGGGGGAACCCTAATGGCAAAAGACCAGAGCTCCCGAACGGCCTGGAAGTCCCGCAGTGTTCGCGCCGTCGAGTAGCCTTTTTCAGTTCCATGCGCTTGACGACCAAACACCGCTGGGGAGACAAAGGATCCAAGATGGCCGACCGCCGTGTGGTCGGTAGCCGGGCGACGGCCACCTAGGAGAGCCTCTAATTAGCGATTGCAATATTGTTGCAATTGGTTAACAAGCGCCACACGTCCCTTAGTGTGTGGGCTATTAAACGACAGTTCATTCAGTTCACGAACAGCCCACAAAGGCGCTGTTCATGAAAGGAAATACAGTAAGGCTATCTGCTTTCGGCAGATAGCTGACAAGATCAATGAAACATACAGTGAAGGAAGTCAATTACAGCCAGGCACATATTACAGCACAATAAAGACACAGGCAACTTTTCCCCACATATTGTCCAAGATAGTCCCAGTGGCTAGTTTTGCCACAACTACTATCCAAACTGGGTTACAATCCGGCTTCTTTTTCCGGGCACTCATTCCGCATAGGAGCCGCTTCATCAGCCTCTAGCACAAACACCCCAGTCCACATCATCAAGAGACTGGGTCGTTGGAAATCCTCCATATATCATACTTATATACCGCGACCAGAGAAAGATCTTCGTCAAGCTTTCAGGAACTTGGTTATGTAAAAAAGGCAATAAAGTGTGTATTTTCTCGATCTTCTCTTTTGCCCTCTTTTATTTACAGGCCCACTCGTACGTTGGTTTCGGCACACCACAACCAACTTTGCCCTTTCATATACTATCCATTACGTATTAAATTCCGAGCACAAGTAGAAAGGCCATTAGGCCTGAATTTGTGGGAGGAGTAAGTCCCCTACTTAAACTCCATGCCCCTACTCACCTCTGCCGGTTCAGTTGATTGTCCCCACCCACCTACACCCTGTTATCACTACATTCTCCTGAGCACCGGGCATTTACAAAGAGGAAGGCTGGAGTGCAAAACACCAACTAACTGTATATATATATATGTATAAAAATATATATTTTTGTTTGGGTGGGGGGATTTCATTTGAGGGGAAAGAGAGAAAATAGCAACAGGGGTAAAAGGTGAAAAATGTTATAGTAATGGTACTCACAGTAACAAATTTAAACCTCTTTAAGGTAGAGGAAAAGAAGCATTTGATTTATCTTGATTAATCGGTCGCTATTGAAAATACATGTATACACTACATATATTTTTAAGGGCTTTAAGGAAGCACAGAAATTTAGGGTTAAAAATATGTCACTAATATATAAATTTATATAACACAGAAACAGAAATCACAAAAGTTTTGAAACACTTAAGGAGTTAGACCCATAAATGTAATATTTGGAAAATTAGAAGGGGTAAGAGTGAAGGGTAAGAGAAAGAGAGAGATGAACTAGATTAAATAGATGTTTGGTTATTTTTTCTGATGAACACAAGTCAATGTGAATTCATGTAAGAGTGAATATTAGGCACATATTTACACATACAGTGATATACTTGTTTACTTTGTACCATTTTCTGCCTACCAGAGATTGATAATGATATTGTATTTTGATATCAGAAAGGGCACAGGATGGGTTATACAGTGGTGTATTTTGGTTTTGTGCTGCCCTAGGCATGACTAAACCTATGCACCCCCCTCGATCTTAATGTGCTCCAACCCTTCTGATCAAGGCCACACTTCTTCCTTTTAAAACCCAATCCTTCTGTAAACCCCACCTTTTTCTCTTTAAGCTCCACCTCTTCATCTCTGTCCTCACACAGATTAGGAATCAAACTTTGCCATCAAACTGCTTTCCAATACCATCTTTGTCCCAAAACAACTTTACAGTGCCAGCTTGTACCCAATCAGCTTATCAGTGCCATATTTACACCCAAACAAAAAGCCAGTGCTATCTTTGTCCACAAACAGTTTGCCAACGCCATCTGGTATATCAGGCCTCCACACTTTAAATGCATAAACTTGGTATATCACAGTAATCAGCTATAATTGCATAAACTTGGTATATCATAGCAGTCAGTTTAAATGCATAAACATAGTATATCATAACAAGCAGTTGTAAAATCATAGCAATCAGTTATAAATGCATAAACTTGTTATATCATGGCAATCAGTTATAACATAATTGTAATGACATCCATGCTTGGTCCCTTTTTGACAGTGTCATGAAGGGAAGGGGCATAATCATTATCACATAAAACCAGGGTGAATAGAGTTTCCACAACTATGGTGTCAGGAATACATGTTTGTATTCCTGACACTATAGTGTCCCTTTAAGCAAATTAAAGGAATATTCTGGTCACCATAACAACTTAATCTAAATGAAAATGCTATAATGCCAGGAGGCCCCTGGGAGCTCTCTTTCCTTTAAGGGGTTAAGCCGTTTCCAAATGGTTTAACCCCAAAAGCTTCCTCCACCTCCAGATCTCCAGGTTGCTCAGTGCTCCTTCTCCTACTTTACCTTTGTGCTCCTTTGGTCCCTTCCTGTTCCTTGCTGCCCTTTTAGCTCCTTGCTGACCCTTTCTGCTCCTTCCTTTCTGCTCCTTCTACTTTACATTTGTGCTGCTTTACCTTCCAGCTCCTTGCTGATCCTGCCTACACCTTGTTGCCCCTTCCTACTCCTTGCTGCCCCTTCCAGCTCCTTGCTGCCCCTTGATGTTCCTTCCTGCTCCTTGATGTTCCTTCCTGCTCATTTCTGCTTCTTCTCCTTTCTG